CTGAAAGGAAATGTTCTTAAGTGGGCATTGTAGTAAAAATAAGAGAGTAAAACTTTTAAAAGCATGGTTGATTCAAAAGATAAAAAACAACAGCAACAACAAAAAAACAAACCTCTTCCACACATTTACTGCATGACATTTTCCCATGGAGATACTTTTTTTTTTTTATTAAAGCTTTGGCTCACATAGAAGAAATAGTGAGCTCTTCTTGTTATTACTTTAACTTGTCCAATCTGGAAACCACAGAGATACCTCAGAAGTTCATTAGAAATTCCCAAATCCAGAAAGAGGAAGGTCCCAATAAAAACAAACAAACCAAACCAGATCCTCTGGAGTTAGATTCTTAAATTTTGACTTCCTGATTTTAGTTTCAGAATAATAGTAAATCCCTAGTTAAGTGAAGTCTCTCTTCTCAGTCTGTCAGTAGATTTGGCATGCACAAGTAGTATGCATGATCCAAATGCAAATTATAAACAAGAAAGCTCCATCATTAGCCAAATCAATTTACACAGAAAGCCTTTTTAAAAACCTGATAGTTTTCTTGGTTGTGATTTACTTTTATGTTCCTTAAATGTAGTCAATGGACCAGCTCAACAATGGGAGAAAAACTTCCCTTTCTACCACAAACAAATAAGGAAAGACAATTTTAGAAGAAAAAAAAATCCTTTTCAACTTCTAGGCAGGGATTAGATTTTAACTAATAAAAATTATACTTTTCCGGCTGGCTATCATTCTTTAAGATTTGATGAGATCAGTGAAAGATTCTCAGCAAGTTATACTTTTATAAAGCAGAAATTGAACAGCAATTTGATATTAGTTTTTTTTGTTGTTGTTCTTTGTTTTTTGGGGGGGTTGGTCGTAGGGCTTGAACTCTGGGCCTGGGCGCTTTCCCGCAGCTCTTCAGCTCAAGGCAAGAGCTCTACCACTTGAGCTACAGTGCCACTTTTGATATTAGTTTTTGTAATAGGTTTTTTATTGTAAAAATACTGTACAAAGGGATTACAATTGCATTAGCAAGATAATGAGTACATTTCTTATCAAGCATATTACCAGGTAGTCAAAGGTAGGAGTATTTGTGTACTCATCTGTTATAACTGAAGAAGTATTTTCAAGAACAGTGAATTTTAAGAACCACATGGAAATCCACTGTGATGCAACAAGAATTTTTCTAGCACAGAATTTGTGGTGTTGGCAAAGTGTTTTGTGGAATGACTTGAATCCACAAAAGCTTCACAGCAAGCAAATAACTGTGTAATTCAAGAACTTTTCCCTTATTCTCCACCTTCATTTCTTCTCTCTTGTCTATTTTTTAATGAATATTTTACTTAAAATATAATCAATGTCATTTTTTTACATATATCAGGTGTACTTTCTGTTTTGTCTTTAAAGGGATGTATCTATCAGTTGTATCCAGAATAGCAATGCCTAAGAATTAAATATGATTGTTCTCAAATACAAATAAAAAGGAAATGCATTTTATATATGAAAGCATTATTTTTAACTTCCTAATTTTAGCATCAATGATTTCATGTGTTATTTTTACCAGTGTTCTTAGGGTTTTCACCTACAAACTTTACTAAACTCTATTCTGTAAATGACCAAATGGAGTGGCTTAAATGCCACATGGAGTTTGAAGCATTCTACTCCATCACCAACTTCTTCCTCTGAATAAAAACAAAAACAAACAAAAAAACCCTTAGAATTCTATTGTTTAGGGTGTATTAAAGGCTTATAATTAGAATCAAATCTTGAGTTATACTGGTGTTCACCCCAAAATACTATGTTAGCTAATTCAATAGTGGTTTCCAAGGAAAATCTTGTGCTTTCTCTGCCTCTCCAACTTTATCCTCGGCTCCCATTATTTCTCTAGTTTTATAGCATGTTTTCATTCCATATTGCAACTACCCTCAATGCTTTCAAATCACAAGCTCAAAAGATAAAGGAATGAGAATAAAATACATTAAGTTTATCACTCAGTATATATTTCAATATCCTGTCATTTGTAAAAGAAAAAAAATAACAATGAATTTCTGAGGACTTGGAAATTAATAATTTGGACAAATCACTTTTTAATACCTGAAAGCTAAAAGAAACATATTTCTTATCACATTCTCATTCATATTATAATTTTATACCATATTGCTGTATGGATAAATTATAAATATCAAGGTATAAAAATAAAGAAAGAAATAGCACAGTACCCATAAAATTTGTCGCATTCTGTAATGTCCTTATGTTGTAATATTATTTATGGGTGGAGAGAACAGTTTCTGTTAATCATGTTTTAATATTAACATATTGATGAGCATTATCTAAAAGTAGGGGCTACCAGCTGGTGTTCTGCGTTAAACATTCTGAAATGCAGCCAGTACAAGGGACATGTATTAAAAGAGCAGAACAAATGACTTAAAGGGGTCCTAAAGGCAGCGATCAGAAAAGGTTCATTTAACATAGAGATGGCACAAGCTTTGAGCAATTGCCTCTACTTAAGTAAGTGTGGAATTACAAAAGGCTATTTATTACAGTCCAAGGAGCCCTGCAGCTTGCTCAAAGACCTTTGAAGAAATTCAACAGTTATAAAGTCTTGCTAAGTGCAGAAGCAGTAAAACTTGGGCAGACCCCCAAAAGTGCCTGCAAAGCATTTATTAAAAAGTTAATACAATCCTCACCATAATTGTTCTTTGAAATAAATTCTTTTCGTTATGTACTTTTTAAAAGGAGAGATATTACATCTGGTTATTTCCCACAACTTCTTTGAAATGTATTTTAATCACTAGGAAAAATAAACTAGCCTGATGATGTCGTGGAACTAAATATAGGACTTCATGGATTTAGAAAGGAAATATTTCTAATGTTAAGCTTCTTTGAAATGCCCTGGAAGCACATATTAAAAGTTACTCTATTTGTGAATTTGCCTTTGGTGAAATGTTAGTGATATTTCTCCACTGTTTGTATAAGAAGAAATGACCCCAAGGTCATGGAGAGCTACTTAAATCTTTTTATTAAAGATCAGATAACTTGTTGATTTTTCTAACTGAAAAGAAAATTGTTATTATATACTCAGTTTATCCATTATTAATGCCTCTTGTAATCACCGAATACGTTTATCAAGCTTCAAATAAAATACATTGAGAACAGCTTATCTTCTTTAAAACCAACTTCAGAGAAACAAACTACAGGGATGGAAGATGAGACTAATTTGAGAACTAAAACAGCAGAATTCTGAATAGACAAGACTAGGCATGGAAAACTGATGACTTTAAAACAAAAGTTGCAGTTGAAAGTATGGTCTGATGGAGTCTTATCTCAGTCTTATTTTGGGGCAAGTTATTCTTACCTAATTGTTGGCTGGCTGGCAGGTGGTCTTTCTTGAAGAGACTATGTTCAATTCTTTTGGAAACATTTTTATCCATCTAAGATTGTAAAGACACTTCTGGTGACCATTCTTGTCTTTCCTGATTTTAAAGGAGATTGCAGAGTGATTGCAGAGAAATAACTAAGAGCAAAAATATATATATTGAAACAAAATATAGGCAGGATGTCCAGCTACTCTCTTGCTCTTAGTCAGTCCATGGGCACAAGTAAGAAATAAAGCTTTTCAGCAAAATTAATTTCAGCTCTTGTTACAATTTGACATCAAAAGTTGTTTTTTAATAAGAGAAAGTAAAAAAAAAGGAAATGACTTTTATTTTCTACCAAAATATTTTTTCTGTGCTAATTAGGATAGCCCAGCTTTAATTAGAAAAGAGCTGATATGTTGATTTTATAAATAGTAGAAACAGGAGTCTTCTACTATTTTATAAATAGTGGATGCAGGAGTCATGATCAGTGAAAGGAAACTTTTTAAGGGAGAAATAAAACTGAAAAGCATTGATCGACCAGAACAGTTTATATATAGGGCTGGCTGCACATCTCATGTGGGAATCATAACATATCAAGCTGTATTTCTAGCCTTTTCTGGGCAGAAAATATATATAGGACATAGATAGCTCTTGATCTGAGGGAAAATTATGTAGGAAAAATATTTTTACATTGAAAACAAATCAAGGGTTAATTTAGCTAAATCTTCCTATTCTTGTAACTTGATTTGCCTCATTGCATTAAAACATAATACTAATGTACTTCAGTGATTTATTTTAATTGACTAATGCAACATGATTGGGATTTGAAACCACAAGTACATTGAGGAACACCAGGATATTCTTAAAAGAATTTGAAATAAGAATTTACTAAAAATACACTTGATATTGGGTTATAAATGGAGATAACCTTAAGATAACTCACTCAGATTAATAATTTTTATTCATATTCTATACTTCTAGTAAATAGAAAATATAGAAATACTGTAAAATGAGATAACCCAAAAATATGTCTAGATAATGACATTTTATATATCATTTTTGTATATTTCTTACTAAATATTTAAGGAAAATAGTAGAAGGTTCTTATTTTCTTGATCTGTATTTTTATTCATGAGAGATTTTTGTCGAAAGTCAAGGTCTACTGTAAAATGTCCTAGAATGTATCTGTTTTACAATATGCTAAATATTATTATTACCTATGGATATCGTGGGACTTCTTGTACATAATGGATTCCAGTCCTCTTGCAGAACTGCATATGAAAATGCTATCAATGAGCTGAAGAGTCTGGCATTAATAACTACAACATTATAACAAATAGGTAGTCCTGATATTTTGTTCTTTTTTTAAATATATCAACTATGTTTCATTGCTTACATTATAGTAGCAGATTAAAAACATCTGCTCACTTGCCACTAGTCCACCAGCAGCAGAAATTTCAGCTCATTTTCTGTAGTTTTGCACATATGAAGGCCATAATCCAGCTGCTAAGGCTGGATGTGGGGCCAGATTAATACTCAGGAGCCTTGGAGATGGAATCAGGCTTTCTGGCCAAAGATAAGAACAATCCTTGACTCCATTTATTTCTTCTCTTCTCTCTGCCCTTACCCACTGCATCCCCAACCTTCATCTCTTCACAGCCCCCTCACCTGTTACAACGATTAAAAAAGATCGGACATCCAGAAACAGCATCTCTTTATCCTGGCAAGAACCTGAACACCCTAATGGGATCATACTGGACTATGAAGTCAAATACTATGAAAAGGTGGGACAACATATAAGGTTGATTGGATATAGCAAGACACTGTTTTCTGGGCTATGACATTGCAAGGTAAAGGATGACCTTGCTGGTAAATAATACAGTTCTATTTAGAACACTTCTCGTGTGACTCCTTTTTCATTTACAGATTGGAGAGGGATGTTCAGAAATCAACTTGTCAAATATCTTCTATAGCATTAAGCAACTTGAACAATGTCACTAACAAATTTAAGTCAGTTAATTTTTAAATTAGGCAAAATATTTGTGGCCTTTCACATGGTCCTGCTCCACTGATAATTTTACCTAGAATCCTTGGTGTTTTCATGAACTATGTTTTAGATCACTGACTCAAGTATCATGTTTTTGACTTCCACATTCAGGTAGATTTTATTTAATGCAGACAAGAACATTGGCGTTAATAACAAAAACAAGGTATTATTGAACTGGCATTGAAAGCTTCCGTGACACTCTAGTGGAAAATTTAAAAGCTGGATATATAAATTTACTTCTTAGTATAAAATATCACTATTAAAAAGTGAATACTTGGCTATTTATATATGGAATTTAGGAAGTGCAGATTTATCACTCTTAGCACTCAGTTCTGTCTGGTTATATACTAGAGGAAAGTTTAAAAGCAAAATATCTTACAATTTGATCATTTAGGCTGGAGGACTTAGGAGTTACTCGTTAGCAAACATTTTGTAAATCTACGTCGGTTTACAAAGTATTTGAAAGTAAATAAAAAGTTGTACATTGAAAATATGTTTTCATTTACAGACTACATCTACATGTAATAGTTAAATAATAGCAACATAATAATCTTATGAAAGCAGGTAAATAGGCTTTCATATTAATAAAAATAGAGAATTATTGACAGATAAATTTCCTGCAAACTTACTGCTAGTAAATCTTGGGTTCTGCTTCAACTCCTGATTGATCTATATTCAAATTGATTTATATCTCCTCATGTGTTATATATTTCAACATTAGAATGAGATAGAGTTATGAAAATTGTTGGTATGTTCAAGTTGTATACAAAGGCATAATTTTGTATAAACATACTTTTATATTTTGTAGTTATAGCCTTTGTGAAAATTAATGTGCTTTACAAGTATAATTTTTTTCATTAAAATTTATATATTTTTCATGAGAAGATGATTCCTAATAAGTTTAATTGTGCCCAAATCACAACATAGATAAGATTTTCTCCCTAAATTTCAGTCACCTGCAGTGGCAAAGTAATACATGTGAAGGTGATCGTCTGTTTAAAGTATGATAAATCTACTTTGCAGATAAAAGAACCCACATTTTATTGAGTCTAAAGAATAAAAGTTAATAACTTGCTTTGGTTCAGATTAGATAGTAGAAGTAAAAGAACCCTTGACAATCTGTGGGACTGATTCCAAAATACAACTATGGTCAAAATTTTGAGAAACTTGCAAACTTTTCTGAATCAATTTTAAACTTGCTTATTGAATTATAGCATATAACATTATTTTAAGCAATGATAAACAATGTAGAATAAAATCTTTGCATTATTAAGCTTGATACATATATAACTATCTGGTATCACTATTCTGTAAGCATATAAATACTTTTTTAACATACAGATATAATTATTCCTAAACATTCATGAGGCTTGAAAATATTTAACTAGAATTTCAGTTTTGCAAATTTTCAGTTCTTTGACTGCTTACGTCTTATCATGATGAAGAAAGAGACTGACTTTAGATACATCCTCAATAGTTTTGTTTTCTTATGAGTAAAAAAATTATATAATATTAAATGCATTAAACTTCCTTCATTATTTACTGTAGTAATTCAGGTACTAGCAAATACCTATAGTCACTATCTTTAGTTACAAAGCATTTGTATATGTATATTTAATAAATGCTAGTAAAAATAAAATTCTATGTGAATTCCATTTTTATAAACAAGATTTTCCACAAGAGATTCAACTTTTTGTGTGCACTGTACACACAAAAATATTCCAAGACTTGGATCACAATATATTTGTCTTTACTTAGTACAGTGACTGAGATTTGATATAATACAAGTACAGTTATTTAAGAAAATTGGAACCATATATAAAAATTGGCATTTTATTTAAAAGTTAAGATTAACTGAAGTATTTTCTAATTGACATTGGACAGTACATTTCTATTAGGTTTAATTCAAAGGATTATTGTCTTCTTTATAAGTTTATTCTTGAAATATATATTCAACTTTCTACTTTGATGTTAAACAGAAGTTATTTTCACTCACATATTAGTAACTAGAAAGGATGAAACCTGATGTCTTCTGCCTTATCTGTATGGCATGTATCTATACAATTTAGAAACTTCTGTACATGTTTTCATCTTTGAAAAATGCTTCTATTTATAATTCCATGACATTTTCATCCATTGTATGTTGCTTGGGGACATTTTGAAGAATCATCTTTCAGTGTATTGTTATCATTTGATTGCATTACAAAATTTTGATGTTAACATGACTTTTTATCTTACCTCAAAGCAGGAGCAAGAGACAAGTTACACCATTCTGAGGGCCAGAGGCACTAATGTTACCATTAGTAGCCTCAAACCGGATACCACCTATGTGTTCCAAATTCGAGCCAGAACAGCAGCTGGATATGGGACCAACAGCCGCAAATTTGAGTTTGAAACTAGTCCAGACTGTATGTATTATTTCAATTTAATCTACAAGTGAGGATTACTTTTTGTGTATGATAATTTATGCTTATTCTTAATTATGATACACTGAGATTGTATTACTTGGAAGCTTTAGTATCTGTACAACATCCTATATAGGTGTGTGTGTGTGTGTGTGTGTGTGTGTGTGTGTGTGTATGTGTGTGTTGTGAGACATCTGTGTGGATTTTCTGTTTACAATATCCTAATTTCTGGAATGTATCTGTTATTCTCTTAGTGATAAATTGATTTGGAGAAACATTATTTTTTTTTAATTTTATTTGTGAACTACTGTACAAAGGGGTTACAATTACATGGGCAGGATAATGCGTACATTTCTTACCAAGCATTGCAGCCTCCCCCCTTCCCCCGAATCCCAACCCTTATCCACCCCCCTCCTCCTCCCCACCCCGGAACCGACGTTGTAAAGCTCGTTTTGGACATGACAAATTATACTTCTCGTTGTTGCATCAGGTCCACCTGTATCCTTAAACAACTGAGAAACATTATTTTTAAAGTGATAACACCTCTCTCTAGTGCTTGAAAAGCCAGATGTTGCACGACTCAATGAACTACAAAAAAGAAACTTGTTGATATATGAGGAAGTTGATATTGTTTTAATCTTTAACATATTGAACCATGTAGGAACTAAAGAAAATGACTTGAAATTATATTTTATCAATTTATTCAGGCAAGTAGCCTTTTCATTTGATTCTAAATTTGATTCAAATTGGTCTCAAATTAGAAAACAAAATTCCAGTAACTTCTTTTTTACCCTTTCTTCAAGTATGCTAACTTTATATTTTGAAAGTTCTCAACAACAGTAGGGCCCCAGTGGTTCATGCCTGTAATCCATACTACTCAAGTGGCTGTGATCTCTGTGATCTGAGGATTGCAGTTCAAAGCCATCCTGGGCAGGAAAGTATGAAATATTCTTACCTCCAATTAACAAAAAAAAAAAAAAGAATAGTGGTACAGCACCAGCCAAGAGCAGTTTTGCCAGAAACAATGCCCAGGTCCTGATTTCAAACCCAAGGACAGGCACACACACGCACACACACACGCGCACGCGCGCACACACACACACACACACACACACACACACACACCACTCAAGGCCTCTGCTAAAATATAAAATTTCATAACGTAGTATCTTACTATGGTATTCATATATAATATTATAACAGAAGCACATCCCATACAAATGTGATGTGTGTGTGTGTGTGTGTGTGGGTGTGTGTATGAATTTAGGTATTCAGGAGTACTTGAACAAACCACTTACAGGCACAGGCTGAAAACTGGTTAATATCTGCTGATGACCAAAAAAAGTGTAATAATCCAGATCATCTTTTCCATATAAATGAACGAATTATTTAGCTATGTGATAAAACTATAATGTATAGTGCAGATTGACAACATGGGGAGTCATGCATTGGTATGAATCATCAGATGCCAGAACCCCTGTCCCTGTCCTGTTTAGTAACCAGTGACATAGCTTCTGGTGAAGTCCAAGATGGATTCTGAATGTGCAGCACCTAGTGGCCATGTGTTTCTCCCTACACTCTTCAGCAGGGACATCTTGAGTGGGCAGTGTCCCACCACAGTGTTGTAAACCATTGCGAGTAGCACTGAATAAAGTGCTTGCACCAGTTTATATTATGGTGTGCTATCTTGTCACACTCTGAATTTGTTTTTCAGATGCTTTGAAAACTGTGATTTTAAATATTTTAGATTTTTTAAGAGGGGTTGGTGATTAATTGGGTGTGGAATGATCAACAGAGGTAAAGAATAAGGAGCTTGCCTATTTGTAGACTATAATTATAGAGATGGTATCTAGATCTTTGTTACTCTGCAATCTGCATTGTCAACATCACCTGAATACTCATAAGAACGTATAGTCACAGCCCTAGTTTAAGACTGACTGAATCTGCAAATATTGCACATTGAAGTTTCAGAAGCATTGACTTGCTCAAGGCTACATAAACTGTCCGTAATGGATCAAATAAATATTTTAATGTCTGTACATATTGTTTGAACATATATATGTATATATGGACATATATATGTATATATTTATATAGAGAGACAGTCTGTGTTGCTACTGCTCACTCTAGGATTGAATTAGTTATAAAAACAAAGAATGGCAGTGTCTGTATTCCAATAAACTCTGAATGCCATAGAAGTATCACATATCAAAATTTTCTCACTTACTTTTTGTTATTTGTGAAAAAGAACCTTCCTATATTCACAACCTATTTTTTAAAATGTGGTGTCAAGCCAGACTCAGCTCTCTGGGACATTTTTTTTACTGATTGCTATTCTAGGTGAATAAATGAATGAAATAGTAAGTGAATAAATAATAGAGCCATTGTACTAATAAATACTAAGAGAGCTTGTTGGTGGTATATGTGTTGAAATGCATAAGACAAATATTTTAATTTATTTTTTAAATTAATAATAATTAAACATAATTATCCCAATGTTACATTTATAAATATACATACATTGTAATATGATTTTTAGCAATCTAATTAATATATATCCTACATCACTGTAGTGAGGAAAATTAAAATCTTGCCAAATACACTGCTATTCAGCAAATCTGTTGAACTTACTCTTATCTAATTGGATCTTTAGATAATTTGGTCATTTTGGTGGGTATTCCTATATCTTGTTTCCAGTTTTTGGCAATCATGAATAGCCTGTTTTCTTCCACAAGGGTGATTCTTTAAATAAATAGAAACAGAAAGTATTGTCTATGTGCCCATCTTATTTCAGTTATTTTGCAAATAAAACATCAATTTTAAAAATAAACACCAATACTGGTGGTATCATAATTTGGAATCATTTATAATTTCATATTGGGAAACCTTTACCCATTCTCTTTCTTTTGCTAAAATTTCTGATTTATCCATGAGTTTTGGGGAGAGAAAAAAAACAGTCCTGTATAGTTTCACCATAAATAATTGAGTAATAATGTAAACTGATGATGCTGAAACCAACTATTCGATTTATAAGTGATCATTTCATTTATTAAGTAGAAATTTCAAACCAAATTATGGAAAACATCTTGTTTTGCACTAAACAAAGAATACTTACAACACAGTATTACATAACAAGACACAATTCCACAATTCCGTTAAAAGGAGGATATAACACTTCATTTCCAAGTTATTTCATAAAAATGTTAAATCACACTAGGTAATGACTCTCTTTTTCTTCTTCTTTTTCTTCTTTTTTCTCCAATCTCACAGCTTTCTCCATCTCTGGTGAAAATAGCCAAGTGGTGATGATTGCTATTTCAGCGGCAGTAGCAATTATTCTCCTGACAGTTGTGATCTATGTTTTGATTGGAAGGTGAGTTCACTGTCTGCCTCCTATTTCCTTTCATTGCTGCTTGCCTGGCTGGCCTTCATTGCTCTTAAACTTTGAAGAATGTGGTCAACAAAATATTTTCACAAGTAAGAATGTCTCTATTTATATTCTGTGTCTTTTTCTACTACCTTTCTTTCCCCCTCTACCTTTTGTTCTCTGTTTCCTTTCCTTAGTAATTCTTAATCTTCGTTCTCTAACCCACGCCATTTCTATTTGAAGCCCCCCCCCTTTCCAATTCCTGCCTTCTTTTTCCAATTATCTCCCCACTCCTCAAACAATCCCAGGTTTCTTTAATATTTTCTCACCCGAAACACTGGTACAACCCTTCACAGAGCTAATTGTTACCAATGGAGATTTTACCCCCTACATTCATTCCAACAGTAGTTGTTAAAACATACTATAAACACATTCTAAGGCCATTGTAAAACCCAACCTGGCAGGGTCTGCACAGGAGGGAGGCCAGACTACATATCTCATTAGGCAATTCTCCAGGGACCCCCGAAAAATATGAAGTCAACAAGCTTTCCCTAAAGCATTTTATTGTGCAAAAAGTCTAATTTTCGTGTTTTGCATATTCTGAACCTAACTATTATTTTAATTATAATCTCCTTATATGTACTTTCCCTTTGATTTATCTTTAGGTTCTGTGGCTTTAACAAGTCAAAGCATGGTACAGATGAAAAGCGACTTCAGTTTGGGAATGGACACTGTAAGTTTCCGAACTTTGAACATTTTCAGTTTCATCAGCAGTTGATTTATATTGGATAACTTACTTCTTGATGAAGAGGATTCAAGAGTAGCTTTTTTTTTTTTTACAGGAAAAAGATGAGTAAACTAAATTTATTTTAGGAGAAGAAAATGCATGGCTCTGCATTAAGTAGACTTTTACATGGCTGCAGTTCAGCATATTGAAGTTCAAGCAAAGAGGAACCTGTTGTTTATATTCAAATAATGCCCGTGATGAGTAGCAGGAACTAAAGTCAGCTTTGCATGGCTGAAATGCAAAGCGTAGCTTCCATTTCCTTATTACTAGTCCTTTGCTAAAAAATCTAAATAGGACACTTGTCTTTTCCCTGTCAAGTAAATATAAACAACCTGTGTTTATATAAAATGCCTTACTCTATTTTGTCAACCACCCAGGAAAGAGTCTTTAGAATAAATTGTTTATTTTGGAGTCATTTGATATCCAATCAGTAGGAAAGCCAGTACTTTTTCTTCCATCTTAATACCAACTAATTTGGCCTCTTTTTATATTTTCTAAAAGAAATACCCTGTTAGGTAACAAGCTGTTCACATTTAACAAAAAGACACATTTTTTCCCCTCTTAGTGAAACAAATCATTCCATGTGTTTTGTTTTTCTAAACTGTGGCTCAGCTCAGTTCAGCAATTACTGTTCAGTGGACTTAAGAGAAATAGCATGTTCTCACAGAAATTAGTACAAAGACTCTACTCATGCTCAGAAGCTCTAACCTGTCTCCTTATAATTAATGGAGGCTTATAGGCATTACTGTCTTTGGCATTTATTCTTCTTGCCTTCTAAAATTGTTTTCAGATCATCATTCTTATCAGTCATTATATTTGGATCTACCATCCATACCTGGGGTTAAAACTAAAGTAAAAAAAAAACTCAATTACTCTTCGCTAATTTTCAGATCACATACAAAAGGAAAGGCTTTCAAAACTTTAAATTAGTATGATATGCAAACAATGCATCCATTTTCAGACTCAGCTCTTGTTTTTCTGCCCCATTGGTAGAGTCATTATTGACTAACTCATTTTGAGAAAATCCAAACTTCTACCTTTTTAATAATTTCACATCAATCTGAATTTTTTTAAACTCGTAAGTTCTACAAAAACACAAAAGAATAGATATATTTGCTCTTTCATGCTTCCAAGCAAATGTGTTACAATCCTTATACATATTGCCTTTAGTGGCTTCAATCCTTTTCAGTTTAAGATGGAAAAATTAAATATTGTCTACTCAATGATGAGATCATATTGACTTAGTTACGTTTGGAGGAGCTGTACATTTTATGAATATGGACTTTTGATAAATTTCTGTGTGCTGATTCTAATCAGGTTCGTAAAGCCACTCCGCCCAGCTGTTTTACTGTTTGTTTATGGTAGAGTTCGTTGAAACCTTAATATGTGTTCAGTGTGCAGCATTTTTGGTAGATAAATAAACAAAAGGCCATACATTTTAATCCTAGCTTCAAAACCATAAAGTAACTTATATGCATGTCATAAACTTGCAGCCTCTCAATACTACAGCTGGTTTATTTCAGCCTATGTATTTGGTACTACTTTAAAAAGCTCGAGCTATGAAGTATTCCCTCTAGCCTTGTTACAAATCCTATAATATTGCTTCAAAAGGAAAGAAATGTGTTTTACCTCGTAAGATCCTGTCCCTTTGCCCTCTGTAGCTGGACCTTTTTTACATTTTTGTTTTACTCTCCTTAGGGTAACTCATGCTGGTAAAATGGAAATGTAAATTATTGTGTTTGCACAGAACGAGCTGTAAAGTAGTTCAGCTTAACACGTGTGCATGTGTTTATTATCTGGGTTCCATGACAGAGCCCAGTGACTCTGCGTGTTGCCCTTAATTATTGGTGTGAAGGGATTATGTGCCTGGCAGCCTGAATCTCCTGATTCCCAGAACCTCTGGGTAAGCAGTTAAAATCAGCAGCCACAGCCTCACAGCACATAGACCCCTTCATGTGGGGTGGATGTGGACATTGTGTTGATATTTATCATTTTCTCCAAAAAAGTCATGTGGTGGAAAAGCCGTTTTCCATACTTTAATTAACAGAAGAGAATTTGATATTTTGAGGGGGATGATGTACTAAGTTTAGTATTGATATTTTTTGAGGGGGATGATGTTCTAAGTTTAGTATTTAGTAACAAGGTTAACTCTAAATTCTAAAGCACATTTGAAATTTTAAAGCCAGTGCCTATGGAAAGTATTGAAGACACTGTTCCTGACTGTTGGTTTCATACTGTTTGTTAATTCAAGTGTCAGCAAATATACTCTTGGGGATTTCTTAGCAAAGTAAATAATTTTAATCATTCACCACAACTCAACTTTATCTTACAGTTAATCTGTCTTTTTTTTTTGTTTTCCTCAAAGAGGAATTCTAGATCTCTTTATCTTACTATTAATAAGTAGAAGCAAATCAAAATATATTATTGCATCATTCATCTGATTCAAGTTTTCATGTAAATATAATTAAATTGGCCTTACAAAAAGATTCCAAGAAGATGCTACTTCTTAATATATTGTATTCACTCTGTGATGGTTACTTTTTTATTGGTATTTTTGTTTCTATGGTACTGAGGAGTTTAACCTAAGGTCTCATACATGCCAGGCAAGCACTCTAGCACAAAGCCACATTCCCAGCGGTGGTAGTTGCTTTTATCGTCTTTCTTTTAATACTAAAGCAAGATATGTATGATAGTGTTCCATAGTATGTTTCTTGCTTTAGAGATAAAGTATGGTAATATTAATAATTAGAAATGGTTCTAGTATAACAATAGCTATATTGGAGCTCTGTAGTCCACAAGACTCTGACACCTGCTTTTATAGAATTGAATAATCAATATATGAAAGAGGGATACAGGGGCTGGGAAGGTGGCTCAGTGGTAGAGCGCTTGACTTGTATGCATGAGGCCCTGGGTTCCATTCCTCAGCACCATATAAAGAAAAAGAAAAAGCCGGAAGCGGAGCTGTGGCTCAAGTGGTAGAGCACTAGCCTTGAGTTGAAGAGCTGAGGGACAGTGCCCAGGCCCAGAGTTCAGGCCCCACGACTGGACCCAAAAATAAAAAAAAAAATTAAAAAAATTTAAAAAAAAAGAAAGAAGGATGCACACTTAATGTGTTAACTCTAAAGGAATGGTGCTTCTGGGCTTAAAATTCAACCTGGAAGCCTCAATTATACTAATAATTTAAATAGGGCTAGGCATATTTGTTGGTAGTAGAGTGCTTGCGTGGCCTAGCATGTGTGAAACCTTAGGTTTGAACTTGAGTTGCAGGTGAAGGAAAATTCCAAATAAACATCCTGTATGGGGTAAATAGGGCACCGGGGTTTAAACTTGTTGCTGTATGCTTGCTAGAGAGGAACTCTACTACTTGAGTTACACCTCTTACCATTTTTCACTCTGGCTGTTTTTGAGGTAGTAACCTTTGGGCCTGGCTAGCCTGAAAGAAGTCTTACTATGCATACTTCTAGCAGCAACTGGTCATGATACTACATGTTAAATAGATCTGGATCTATTTAACATTTTTGCATAGAGTTGTTCTAAACCACTGTCTTCCCAACACTCAGCCTCTGTGCGGCTCATGCAGTGGATGTGTACTGTGCCTAGCTATTTAAGGAAAGAATCTTAGGAACTTTTTGCCCAAGCTGGCCACAAACCAGGATTCCCCAAATCTCTACCTCCCAAGAAGTAAATGAAAAAAGTTTCCAACAGCTTCCCCCTTCCTTCAATCTGAGGATTTTCTATTCTTATATTTGAGATATCAAGGAAAACTCCAGATTGACTTTCCTCAAATACTTCTCCAATCCCAGTCAACCCAAAGCCAAGAATAGGCTTTAAATTTGCACATTTCTGTGAAGTTAACTTAATATCTGTTAGTATCTTTTCAAGTTACTCATACGCTGCCTCAAGCTGGTGTCCTGCTGCTTGTTGGCAGTAGCAGGCCAACAGGAAGTAGTTTGTTCCTGTCCCCTTCCCATCTGCTCCTTCACCCTCTGGTCCCTCAAAGGATTTGTCCGTCAGCTGCAGAAGTAGCTGCGCAGGGGAAAGCTTCCACCTTGCATCTCTGCCAACCACCTTTTCTTTTATAACTCATTGATTTTCACTCAGGTTCTTCACTTGAAATAACTATGAAACCCTAATAGGAGTATGCATTACAATAAACTGTTAGAAGGGCATTCATGAAGTTGTCTTGAAATCCTTAAGTGGCCAACTTCCATTGTGCTGCAGACTGTCAGGGACAACTGTTTAAAATACAAGCTCTAATATTAGCTCAAATGAAGCTAGTCAACGCAGTGGTCAATTATTTTTGTGCCAAAGAAATTTTTTTTCATTATGAAGTCACATTGGAAACTGTAATGTCTGACTTTATTTTTGTTAAGTTCAGAGAAAAAGTATTCTTCAATAATTTTGCATAATAAAAGAAAATATTTAAATTAAGCAACGTTAAAACCCACGAAAGCAACATTGTCAGTGTTACTAAGATTGAGAGCATAACCAATAATATTTGTAGATATACTATAAAAATTAAAATTTAAAGTTCCTGTTGAAGAATTCATCTGAATTGTCTTTAGAGAGACTTGAGTTTTCTTTTAGATAACGTTTTTTGAACTTTGAGAGACAAATTGCATATTGTCTCTCCCTTTGAAAAAAATTCCAAATGATAGGAAATTTATAAGTATTAAAACACACTCAAAAGATTTTCCTGTTTTTCATAGTTTTTAATTACAGAACATGAAAATGATCACTTTTAGTTAAGAAATTATACATGCGATTTATGTTTGGATTTTAAGTTCTTACTATTATTATTAAGCTTGTAAGCACAATTATAAATACTGCTTTAATTAACTTAAAAAAAGAAAAATTTAGCTGCTTGATAGTATATTAGTGAACAGAGTTCATAAGTATGTGTAGTGAATTAGCTCTGTGTTCAGGTAGCTTCAGATAGAAGATAGGCCTTTTTGTATTTTTTTATTTATTCTGCCTTATGAAATTCTTTCAGTTTAAGGCAACCACTTCAATTGTTCTTCCTCATATCTCCAAAGACACCTACCCTAAATTATCTAGTTTTGTTTTCACATATTACATTAAATATTATTATAATATTTATATATATATATTTTTGGGGGGTCCGTCATGGGGCTTGAACTCTGGGCCTGAGTGCAGTCTCTCAGCTCTTCAGCTCAAGACTAGCGCTCTACCACTTGAGCTACAGCATCACTTCTGGTTTTCTAGTGGTTTATTGGAGATAAGAGTCTCTCGGACTTGCCTGCCTGGGCTGGCTTTGAACCCCGATCCTCAGATCTCAGACTCCTGAGTAGCTAGGATTATGGCGCCTGTCTTACATTGAATATTATTTGCCCACACTTCCTCAAACTCCTTGGTTCAAATACTTAGAGAAAATAAAAAATTATATAAATGGGTAAAATAAAATAACAATAAGAGAAAGAAATGTTTAAAAAATTATCTCATTTATTTATTGTCAGATATTGCATATATGGTTATTATAATAAGTATGTGGTTATTATATTGGTTGTACAATAACATGACATTATCATTATGTATTTAATAGTAATTATACTGCTTGATCATTTCAAAAGCATCTTCATTCCTAAAGTTGGCAGTAAGATATATATGTTTTTTGTTTTTTATTTTTATACATTTTTTTAAATTGTGAAAATACCATACAGAAATATTCCAACCTCATTCTTCAAGGAAACAGAAGAGGCACTCCAAAAATTTATATGGAACAATAAAAGACCCCAAATAGCAAAAACGATCCTTAACAGAAAGAACAGTGCTGGAGGAATATAAATACCAAGTTTCAAACTCTAGTACAAAGCCATAGTAATCAAAACAACTTGGTACTGTCCAAGAACAGACCTCAGGACCAATGGAATAGAACTGAAAACCCAGAAATGAACCTGCAGACCTATAGCCATCTAATCTTTGATAAGGGAGCTAAAAAAATAGAGTGGAAGAAAGACAGCCTCTTCAGTAAATGGTGCTGGAAAAATTGGCTAATCACTTGTAGAAAACTAAAGCTAGATCCTTATATATCACCCTGCACCAGAATCAACTCCAAATGGATCAAAGACCTCAGAGTCAAAGCACTCTATTTTGTTTGTCATTATGGACAGCTTTAAAAAACATTTTTCAACACTTAAGCCAACATCTCTGTCTGTTTCTGTGATATCATAAAATAAAAATTGATGTAGCTTATTGGATTAGAATATTTCAGGCAAAATTATCCTAAATATTTTCTCAATAAAAACCTTATAAATAATGCCTTTGCTCCTTCCTTTAATCAGTAAAACTCCCAGGACTTCGGACCTATGTCGACCCACATACCTATGAAGACCCTACACAAGCAGTGCATGAGTTTGCTAAGGAGTTGGATGCCAGCAACATATCCATTGACAAAGTGGTGGGAGCAGGTAACTCATTAACCCTACTGCAATAGTAGTATGCTAATTGCATGTTTACAACTATGACTAAAAATACTACCTGAGGTTGCTCTGTTTTCTGAAGCTTGGGTGACATTTTTCTAATTTCATAATGAAAGACGAGCAGTAAATGGGGTATTTAATGGAATTTAATGATTTTATAGGTGATAGACTTGCAAATTGAAACAATGGCTGCTTTTTATTAGTTTTCAGAGGTAGTCTCAGTTAATGCTCAATCTTCCCATAGCTATGCTGATCCCCTGTCAAAAACCTATTTGAATAAGTAGGGATACAATAATGTCTCAATTTAAACTAGACCAGTAATTGAAAATCTTCATTTGAATTTTAATACCCTCTTTGAAATTCAAAGAACAATAAAAATGTTATATATGACACTCCAATTTCATTACAACTATTTTGACAGGGTATCATAAATAACCTAAAATATTTTAATTAATTAATTTATTCCACTATAAATTCATGAATAAACATGGAGTTATTGCTAAAATAAGTTGCATTTCTCAATAAAACTTTAGGTAAGTATTAAATAAAAATGTCTGTACACTTACAAATAAGCATATGAGTATCCATAATATGTGGAAACATGCATATCAGCACTACTATTGAAAAATAAAATTGAACTATGCATAATACTACAGAGATAATAATCTCACTCTTAGCTACTGCCTTCAAAACAACTAGCAATTTTTATGTTGATATAGGAAATAGAGTAGATAGGGAAATTTACTTACTGGATTATTAATAACTTGTCTGACCATATTTTCTCCAAGTGCCATATTTATGTATTCATGACTAAGGCTTCTTTATACAAACATGAATGCATTTGTCACTATTTTTTTCTGTAGATAAAAGCAGTATCTAAAGTATTCAAGAAAGAAAATTTGACTAATTTGTTTTATCCCAGTGATATATTTTTCTAAACTTTCTACAGTTGTTCCAAGTACATTATGTTCCTAAAAATTCAAGTAACCAGATGGTAATAATTATGAAACTACTATTCATAGAGGATACTAATATAGATATTCTGTTTTTACAAAGCAGGACTTGAACATGTGTGTGTCACCACATATTTGTGGTAATCTAGTACCGAAACAAATGTATGCTGAGTATCCTGTTTATTGGGTTAGCCTTGTTTTGTGAACAGCTCTGTGACCTGGAAGGTTTATATTTGGCTTGGTTTTAATGTTGATCCACAGAGTACACTGTTTCCAGCATGGACTTTTCAGTAGCACAAGCAGCACCTGATCTTTGCATACTAATCTGGAGCCCAATGAGAGGAAGAATAGCTCACTTATCCACAACCTAGGTCCAGAAGGTCAAATAGCAACCATCATGACCTTGAAATCTGAGGCCCTCTGCCCTGGTAAAAAGGCTTTCTATGGAGACATTGACATAGCTAGTTAGCCAGAACATAGAGTTGTGAGGCACAGTAAACCCGAATGCTCATGAAAGATTAGACTAGATCCCCTTTGTCTTTTCTTTCTTAAAATATATAACTAAACAATGAAGCCTAACCTCATATTGAGAGATATGTAAGCCAACACTCTTGGCTATTATCTTAAGAACAATGATGCTGTGCTTATTTTATTTTTAAATAGTTATATGATTAGTTGATGACATTTCTCCTGGAAAAATTCAATATATTATGTACACACAGTATAAGAATTTCTGGATTAGAATGTTTGTCATTACCAAGAATACAACATAGAATCAAGACATTAAAAGATACCACACACATACACATACACATAAATACAGACACATAAATAAGTGAAATAATATACAGATATAATGATTGTGTATAGACACATTTCTTAAAATAGCTTCAGTAACAATCAACATAAGCTAACATTGCATAATTGTTTAATTTATCTGTCATGGTATTAAGATGGAAGCCAGGGTCTTGCTAGACAAGTGCTATATAACTAATCCATGTCACCACCCTCTAACATGAAATTTGCTTGTTAACAATCCATTTACTTTTTTTATACACCATTCTTAATAAAATAAAAGAATTTAAACTTATCCATCAAAGTCCAAAACTAAAAGTTCTAAATATAAGACTATTCTTAGTCTAAACTTGTTCACCAGGAAAAATGCTTTTAGTTTTTTGAATTTGCAGAAAGAGCATATGTGTTATACATATGATTGTATGTATTGCAATTCTTTAATTTCATGTCAGAGAATGTATTTGGATAAATGTTCCAAAATCCTCATTTACCTAAAAGATCCTTAGAAACAATTATACCTATTGCAATTTATCAAATTAATGTTGAGCCATGAATTATCACCTCCAATTAGTATACTTCTATTGGTAAGGATTGCAAAATGAATAAAAAATTCTAGTGTAATTTTGGAAAACCACTGTATTTTTTTCAAATTTAAAACTTGTAAAAACTTATTTCCAAGTTTCAAAGTATGCTAGGCATTCACTTCTTATTTAATTTCATTAGCTTTTAAAATAGATATTTGTATGTCTATTTCAGTAGATGGGAAAAAAAAGAAGCTAAGTATTTGAACATCCATTGTCATATCAAAGAGAGAAACTGTGGCTAGAATCCTTTATTTTCCACTCTCAAAGCCCATGCTGAACACTGACCATCACAATGGTACATCATTTGTAAGATTTTTGTAGGCATTAAATGAGATGATTCTTGCAAAGAGAGTGATGCTGACAAATAAGCCTTGCTCAATAGGTACTGAAGTATGAGAAGGGTTCAGGGAGACATGATCACTCTGCTTTTCATGAATTCTATAAATTTGTCCATGAATCCCACTTAAAATAAAGAAAATAATCTCTAATTGGCTTACTTAAAATGTGAAATCTTATCCTTAATCTTTCTAGAACAGTCCTCTTAGAAAATGTTTTCTTTGGAAATACTTACTCAGTAAGATATGAATCTTGCTATCATTACCATCACATTAACATCTCTTATTTTAATATGGAATTTGGCAACTTCTCTTATAGTCATATAGAATCTTGTAGTTTCCAAAGCATGTTTATATTCATTTGTCAATTTGATCTGAAAAGAAACATGAGTGTGGATAGATAATTTACCCTTCTAAAGTGGGTCTAAATTCAGGGAATAAATAGTACCAACATATAAATGCTACTTGTCATGCATTTGACCCTGGATCTAGTACCTCACATACATTAATTAACTGTACAACAGTCTTATCAGATAAGCACAATTGTCACACCTATGGTATAGATAAAGAAATGGAGGCACAGAAAGGTGAAGATACATAAAAACCACAAACCCAATAAGTAACAGAGCAAGAATAAGCCCTAAACTATTTGGCTCTGGGATTGATGTTCTCCACCACAGCTCTGTACTGTCTCTTCTATAAACTGACAAGTGATATGTCACTAAGTGGTGATGGCATCTGAATTTAAAACATGATCCTTTATACCATGTTGACTCATGAGAATGGCAGAACTTTCAGGAAATGAAAGTTCATTATGAATACCTCTGTATGGTTTACTCAAACGTAATGTTTATACAAAGCGAACTGGAGCTCTCTAGCAATGTTCAGATAACTCTGGATAAGGCAAGAAACTCTTACTCTTACTCTTGCTTACAATTCTAATTTTTCATCATAACATCTCTTTCTCCTAATAGTGCTTTTCTGTAGTTATAGGTTCTGCCTTGGATTTAACAAAACCAAAGATGGTTCTCAGGCACTCTCCCTCATTTTGTCTATAATCCTTAGGACATTATAACTGTAAGGATTGCTATCTTTTCCCTTCTTTGTCAAAATAAAAAAAAAAAACTAATTTTTTTTTACCATTACATTGCTTTATTTTTCTCAGTGTCTGTTCAGTTGTTGCCAATTGATGAGTATTTGTTAAATAATTACATGTGCTTCTGCTTTTGGACTTTGAATGACTTTTCCAAATTACAGTATAAATCATTGCTTTGCAAGAGGAAGACTGGAATCCTGTTGAAGGGTCATGTCGAGGAGAGGGTAGCGCTTCCTGGAGAGATACAAGTGATTTGTTCTCCTAGAGCAAGAAGCTCTAGCAGGGCAATCTGCTACTTTTCTGGCTCAGCTCATTTACTTTGGGATGGTGGGGGTGGGAGGTGTTGTGTTAGAGAATCATTTCACTTCTCTATGCTGAAACAAAATATTAAAACTGACTTTTCTAAATCACAGGGACATTAGCTCAAGAATATTATTCTATTCCATAGAGAAGCAAATGATTTTTTTTATTTTTTTATAGTTTTTTTTAATTTTTATTTATTTTTTTATTGTGAAAATACTGTCTAGAGTGGTTACAATTACATGGCCTTTGTTTCTCCTTCTCATCCTGTACTTAATCCTAGAAAATTTCCGGAAAACACTCTTGTTCAATTTAAAACCTTGTTCAATACTAAAATTGGTTCATGTGTGTGTGTGTGTGTGTGTGTGTGTGTGGGTGGGTGGGTGGTTGTGTGTGTAGAGAAATAGAGAAGTAGATATAGTCTCTGTTCTAAGCCAGGTCAAAATCTGATGAGGGTGGTAAGTAAAGCTCTTTAATAGTAATGTACATAAAAATAGTGATTAGTCTAAATCATTTTATACATTGATTGGACTCAATTACTTAATAGTAAACAACTCTTAGCATCCAACTTCTGGATTAATCACACATATTTTGGAAATAAGATTTTCATGTAGGACATTAAACATAAGAAAATGTTTCCATAATAACTTTTAGACAAGACAGGCTATTTAATTCGATACTCTTATGCAATTGGTCTTCTCCCAGAAGCCCAGAAAACTTTATAGCTAGCATGCCAATAATGCAACAAACCAATACTCCAATAAATGGAATTGATAGCAGATGTTTCCTTTCTCATTTTCTGAGAGTTTGAGTGTATAGCCCCATTGGTCCTCACAGTAAAAATAGAATAGTTAAAAACATCTGAAATTCAACACAATGTTCAAGTCATAATATCTGTGCCAGCCTGTTTGTTACCCTGAAATGATGTTAGCTCTTACAAGAAAGGGTGAAAAGTCTGACGCATGCAGCTTTTAGCTTTCTTCTTATTTTCTCATGTTGCAGTTTTCGTAGTGTCATATTTAAGATTCCACGGGCACTCTCACAAGGTCTGTTTTCCACTATGTTGTGAATATCTTGGGCTTTTCCAGACAGTCTCATTTTCTCATCTTCTGTAGTAATTTGGAGGCCTATGAAAAACTATAACTGCTTGCTCTTTCAAGTATTTGCTCTCTATCCAGGCTAGGATAGATGTGCTATGTAATTATTTGCATTCTGTTGCTTTCCTGCATTCTACCAGGTGAATTTGGAGAAGTATGCAGTGGTCGCTTAAAACTCCCTTCCAAAAAAGAGATTTCAGTGGCCATCAAAACCCTGAAAGTAGGCTACACGGAGAAACAGAGGCGGGATTTCCTGGGAGAAGCAAGCATTATGGGACAGTTTGACCATCCCAATATCATTCGACTGGAGGGAGTTGTTACTAAAAGTAAGTAATGCTCTAACACCTGCTTTTCCTGCCTTTCTAGACAGCAAATGTATTGAAGTAATAGTATTTTGGACATGCTTTTCTTTTCTTTTTTAAATTTTTATTGTGAAAATATCGTACAGAGGGGTTACAATTACATGGGCAAGGTAATGAGTACATTTCTTATCAAGCATTGTTGCCCCCTCCTTTGTTTCCCCTTCCCATCCCTTCCCATCTCTCCTCCCCCCACCCCAGTGGACATGCTTCTCTAAGTCTTAAAAATTCTTGAATTTTTAACGCAAAATAGTGAGTGAGATATTGGGCTGTGCAAAAGCATGCTGATTAAAAGATTGTGGAGAAGAGAGCTGTGGAAAATGTAGAAGAGCAAGGAAAAACAATGATTCAATTTTGACAGGAACTCCCAGCAAGTTGCCTTTTCATTTATTCTTCACCAGCTTTGTTTAAGCTCCCAGATCCTTACCCCTGTTGTCCTCCCTGCCCTAGGAAAATTATAGGCATCTTGGGAATGCTTCTGAGCTGGAAACATTGGTTCACAAGGAGACCCAAGGCTTTCCCCCCTGCACCCCTCCCCCCTTCTCTGTGGATTCCAAATAGTTCTGATCTAGGGTCCCAGGTGGATTTTGGATTGCTCTGGGGGAAGTTCTGGCATTCAGCCCACTATAAAGATCTGAATTTATTTCCATGATGGTTTCTCCAGCCAAGCTCAAAAGGGATCCTGTGAGGCAGATCTGTGATTTTTGGCTCCCATTCCAATGAAAACCCCTTGAGATACCATTGGGACCTTTCCTTTTTTTTTTTTTTTTTTTCTTAGTTGAGGTTTTGGAGCATAGAATGCAGAATAAGTGAAATTGGCAGCAAATTCCTTACAGTGAAAGACAACATATGGCAGAGAGTTTGGCATCCTTTAGGGGATAATTCATTGGCACCACATTTACATACTCTATGGTTACCAACAGACATTACTCATTATGTTTTTCACAATGTTATTCTTCTTTTACATTACATGCACCACTTTCCAAATGGCAGTAATAGTGAGTCTCACTGTAGTGTGACTAAAAGGGCATTTCCTTCTTCATGAAGGCATGGTATAATTGAAATATACTTTGATTTCCTTTGGAGTGTTCATGTAAAATAAATTAAATTAAGAACTTAACAACGTGGAATTACTTAAACATATGCTAGATGCCCATGTTAAGCATTTTTAAAAAAGTGTTTGAACATTGAATGCTAGGACTGTGTTTGCCACCATTCTTCCCACCCATTCACCTTAAGACCCACCCTCCTCACACCAAAAGGATTTCAGCTTCTTAGTCATAATATTCAGTGTACATTGTTAAAATGGAACTGAGTGACTTGAGGAAGCTGGTGAGGCTAGCATGCTGGGAGAGAATGCTGGAAGCGAAGCCACTGTTCAACATGCATGATATTAGGAATCTAATATGTTGAAATGGAACCCCTTTGTTGATTAAAAAGTATTTGTTTCTTGCCTCTGTCCTCTGAAAAATTGTCCCACAATGGTAGTTATACTAACCTTTCTTGTGAAAATATCAGATTATACGCTAATGTGAGCAAGCTTGCTCAGTTTGCTTGGCTTGCAGGTAATCCTACCACTTGAGCCAGATCTCTAGACATGCTTTTTTGCTGTTTATTTTAGATGGAGACTTTTAGACTTTTCTGCCAAGACTGGCCTCAAATTGTAATTTTCCAAATCTCATCTTTCTGAATAGTTGTAATTACAGTTATGAGAAACTGGCACCTAGCATCTTTTTCTTTTTCTTTTCATTTTTTTAACCAGTAAGACTGGTTTGGGAAATGAATGAATCTATTTGACTTTCAGGGAAAAACCATACTATTTTATATCTGTAGAATTTCAGTGACATGTTTCACTGAGCATTTCATATCATTTAGCCATTTAACGTCTGATGTCATCCTAATCAACTGGACTGTCCTTCAGAACTGGAAATTCACTGAGGAGGAAAATAAAATCACTTGTGCTTAGATATTCTTTTAAACTTTAATTTCCATGATGGAAAATTTTCATCTTCTTTAATGGAGTATCTGTTATTTTTTCTGATTTTGTACTATGGCATAATTTTATTGTCATTGATTGATATTCTGTGAGTTAGATATAATCACTTCTTTTACCTTTGAACAAACAATTGTAAATCATGATTAGATTGTCTGGCTAGAAAGTGCTAAATATAGCATGGAGAATATGGATGTTTCTTTTACACTCTACCCGCATATTGGAACAAACACATGTTTTCATGTTATATTCATAGACTCTAATTATTATTTATTTCTTTATTTTAAAAGTACTTCCTCACAACTTCATCATAGCAAGGCAACTTTCTTGTTTCAAGAAAAAAAGGTTGTAGATAATTTCTTACTGTCAGAATCTGAAACAAAATGTTTCCAAAGATGACAAGAATGGTGACTAACATAGAGCCTGATCAAAATAAGTACTTATTTCATTGTGGTTGAGGAGCCAAAAATTAACTAACTAAATGAGAGAAAGAAGGGAGAAGTATCATCTACTATCTTCCAGTGTTTTAATGAATGCATTCTTAAAGAAGTACAGCTGCATAACTGATTGCATTTTTCAGGGAGTGAGGGAGAAAATAATTGTGTTTTAACATGGACAGAGGCATCACTTAAATTCTTCAATATCTATAAGTAAGAAGAAATAGATAAAAACGACTATCAAAGTAATTATGTTTAAATTTGAGCCTACAGATAAGTTCTAGTGTTCTAGCCAATAGAATTTGATTTTATTCATTTGAATGTTCTAAATGACAAAAGCAATCTTTTAAATTTTAATAAAAGCAAATATTAAAACAAAATTGCTGTGTTATTTTTCCTTCAGATGTAAAAAATTAAATAATCTAATATGAATTGTCATCACAAACAAATCTATAGAACAATCACGGAGAGAAAAATTCTGTAAAAAATACATTAAAATGGTTTCTAAAAACTAAAGATATAACACATTAAAAATCTTTTTATATCTTATTCTCTAACAGTCTGATATGGATTACAACTGCTTTAGTCTTGAAGTGAGAAATCTAAATTTGATACATCTCCTTGGCCAAATAAGTATGTAAGAAACTGTCAAAGCTGACTCTATAAATCCCATCATCTCATATATTGTAAATATAACAGAGGAGTAACCCCAGAGTTAGATTTGGGACTCATTAGTGGCATATTTAAAAAGCTCTAAATCAGGTACCTTTTTCTAATAGAGAGGAAATAGAAGCTCCCTACAATAACATTTATATGTTACATTTAAAACATAAATATGACACATTGTCATCAAGAGATTATTTTATTTTGCTGCTAATATTTTACATTCTAAAACATTTGACTTCTAAATGAATACTCATGTACACACCTGCACATAAACACATTGGATAAATAGAGTGATGCAGAATTTATAGCTTATCACATTTCAAATTTTTAAAAAGGGCATATCAATATCTAGACTAAGAATCAGTACATCCAAGATCAAATTCTGACACAACCATACTAATGGGTGAGACTTCATAAATCAAACAACTCACATATACATCTTATTCTGTAACGTAGAATTAACAGTGAAATCTTACTTTTTTTTTGCATCTTTAAAATGAGATGAGAGCTGGGCATTGCTGATTCACACCTGTAATCCTAGCTACTGAGAAGGCTGAGATCTAAAGATGACAGTTTGAAACCAGCCCTGGCAGTAAGTCCATGAGAGTTATCTTCAATAAACTACTCAGAAAAAAGCCAGAAGTGGCATTGTTGCTCAAGTGGTAGAGTGCTAGCTTTGAGCAAAAGAAGCTCAATAACAGCATCCAGGTTCTAAGTTCAAGTCCTAGGACCTGCACCCACACACAACAACCCCCCACCCCCACCCCCACAAATGCTATGAAAGTATATAAGAATACATTAGCAAAGAATTATGCAAATCTTTTGCTAAGAGTGAGATAACCATTTAATTTGTGTGCATACAAAAAACATTCTTGAAAAAATTCCTTTCTTCCCTTTTGTCTGAGCGAAGCCTTTTTATTATTGCTATTAATTGTGTGCTTAGAAATACTGTGTCTATTATAATGTATCATTTTCAAATCATTTTGAGAAGGGCCTTTATGTGATCATTACTTTTAATTTGTTTGAATCAAGTCATAAACAATTTTAATGGTATGTCATGAGCCTGAAAATCTTAAACACGAGAAGGTGATAGAGTCTCTGATCTTCAAAGTAGCAGCAAGCCAGGGGACAGGCTTTGCCCAGAACGAGGTACTCACATGTGTTATCAATTTTAGTTGAAGTTCAAAAGGATGAAACTTGATTTTAACAAATGTTTGATATTTCTGCCATCACACCATAAGTTAAATGATGTTTAGATTCCAAGAATAATTCCTATTGGCAATATTTTACCTAGTGAAATAGGAGGAATTAAATTCAATCTAGTTGATGTGTTTTTCCCTCCTTGGATTAATTTCTTGGAAATTTAAAAATTGACCAGGAAACTTAACTGTAATCTTCTATTGTTGAGGAATGTCATGGATGGAGCACTAAGAGGATTTCTCATAATTAAACAGCCCTCTTTCTCTCTCTCTCTCTCTCTCTCTCTTTCTCTCTCTCTCTCTCTCTGAGTGTTCACTTTGCACCATCACTAACATTGATTTGGACTTCCTTATTCCCAGTATAGGGGATAAAGGAATATTGTTGGGCTAAGATGGCATACTTTATTAACAATCCCAAATCCTGTTATTTCCTTTCTTTCTGCAAATTTTCTTCTGAGCTTCTTTCAAGAGTATCATATTTCATTTCAAATTCTTAAGCTTTCTTTAATGGTCGTACTCGGGCTTGATTTTGGGGTCTTGAGCTTTCTAGGCAGATGTTTACTTAAGCCATATTCCAACTATTTCATATCATATTCACAACAAAAAGCACATAGGATATATTACAGAGCTAGAATAATAATTTTTTGCAAACTCTGATGACACCAGCTGTTA